GTTAGAACAAATTACAAACATCTGTCAAATTTTTTGCAATCCAATACACATACAAAATTCTACTTCGACTGTCAGCCTAAGAGGTTTATGTTTGCTTGTTTGCATCCCTCAGAGTCAGTACAATATCTTGTCACTAGATGGCATACACACATTCATTATAATGATGTTTTGCCTTTGCAATATGTGAATCGAGAGTCACAGAGATAGAGTGAGTTTAATACATATATGATCTATAAAACAAATGAGAGTGATGTGAAAATGTGTCATTGTTTACTCAACCACAGCCGTGACCATCACTGTCCTGTTGTAGAATTGGGACTCTGTACTGTCAGCATCAGGTAATAATAGCTTTACAGACCGATCTTACTAGTTATGATAATGATTGGTACGTTTTTTTTAAACTGTGCAACTGCACCTCGAAATACTAGTGCACATCTGCACTGCTGGTCCCCAACAGCAATATACTGATTGTCTTTCAATCGGAGTCAGTGATGGCTGTTTGTGTCCAGCTATGGTTGACTCATAGGAGACACTTGTAACCAATTTCTTTACCTTCGCTTGATGTGCTATATTTTCTTTACAAGTACTCTGACCTGAGTAAAATTGAACAAGCAGCACTTCAGTCGGAATATTCACAACTCTGTCCACCACTCAGCAAATGATAGGAAAGGTTACATTAAATCAATGCACACACTGATTTTTCAGATTATCTGGCTGCATGTTTTTTGTTTGTTTTGGAAAGTGGGATGGTAATCAGAGTACCCAAGGGAAAAGCTACCATAGAATTCAACTTCTCTTGAAAATTTGACAAATTGCTCTTGCTATAACTAAAGTATATTTAGATATGAGTGAGCACAAGTAATATTCCAAGACTAGCACCTTGGATTCACTGTCAACATTTTATTTATAATATACAGGTCAGCTTTCCCAGCTCAGATTCTCATTTTTTGTTAGATATTATCCTGTGACACTGCCACAAAAGCCTGCTGTTAACTACCCCTTTCACTCACAATGAAGAGCAAAAATGGGCATCATTTTAAGAGAAAGAAGTTTATAAAAATAACATATAGTTGAACGTAGGAAAACATTGCAGATGTTTTATAGATGAATTAGAAATGCCATGTAGTTTGAATTGTCTTATAGATGGAATAATATGTTGTTGAGTAGGAACTATTTCAGAACATGCAGAATAAGCTATTTTGATCATTAAAGGTTTTAGGTTATTGATCGTGAATTTGCCTCTATATAGCTCGGATTTACAGTACATTACTATTGAAGAAGTAGGTTGCATTTAACTAATTCATATTTTAATTTTTTTTGTTGTGTGTATATAACAATAGCTGCTTGATACTCAATTTCAATTGTTGGCCTATATGCATCATCTCAACTAATTGAAGTCACTGAATTTGACCTCTTGGTTATGTTTGTGGTGTTGGTGTCTTTTGGAGAATGTTTCATATAATAACAGTATATCTGTAATGTCTCTGTTTAGCCAAAACGTGTGTAAACCCTGGAATAACCCTGGTGCATAGTGGTGCTAGCGCTTTTGCTACTTCCTGCTACCAACACTAACAAGAAGTCATTGCAAAAGTTGAGGATAGTATAGCATTAAATCGTATCACTCTACAACGCACTGAACCAAACAGTGAAGAACGGAAAAAATAAACTTCACTTGTTCCAGCCATAACCATAAATTATGCAATTGTTTTTCCAGGGCATGTCAACACTGCTTATGGCTACTCCAATGTCTTTGTGTCATTTTAAGTCGATTCTTACTGTCTGTACTTCATTATTTGCACTCTGTCTTACTTGAGCATCGAACAGCCTCCTCAGCCTTTTATGTGGTCTATGTCTCTATCTGGTGGATGAATAGTGGTACTGTTTTATAATAAAAGCATTGATCGTCAATACGTGCATGAGGTCAAATAGACCAATGTGTTGTGGTTTTCTTTGAATGGCAACGTTTATATAACATGTGTAGAGATCTGATTGATTGTTTTCCTAAATCAAAGCCAAAAAACTGCTGGATTTAGATTGAATTAATACCTACAGGGACATGCAACGTGTTTTACCTGAAAACGTTTCAAAACTCACCCACTCTAAAAGTGTACAGTTTTGTCCATCTTCATTTTAATATACCCAGTAACATATGCTGATGCTGACACCTGCAGACCTCTCGCAAGTGTTACCTTTATTATGATACCAATATACCTTGCAGTTGCAGAGACACACTGGGGCCTGAGCCAGAGGCCTCCCAGCATACCTATTTGTTTATGGCAGAAGTTTATGTCATTTTCTTTGCCCGCTCAAATTTTGATTGTATATCTGTATCTATTTCTGCAGCAGTGCAGACATGTGTTAAGCGCCAGTCTCAGAAAACCTGCATGCTCTCTTCCACTCAGACACCTGCAGACTAATCAGCAGAGGACACGAAGCAGTAATCATAATTACTGTCATAATTTTAATCATGAAAAATGTGTTGCACTTGTTCATCCATCAGCAGTGCCATTCAATGACTTCTATTTAATTAACTGAAATTATTGTAAAAAAAATAGATGTAGTTGAGACGCTACAAATGGAAGTTAAGTCCTATATGCTCGATCCCTGAATTGAACCCATGTAAGGGTCAAAATCCAATGATATATTTAAGTAAAAGATTCAAGTTGTGTTGACTAAAGCAAGCTCAGTCAGGAAATAAAGGTTTAAGAAGACGGAATCAGCCATAGAAACAGTTTGAGGGACAAAGTGACTTCATTTCACGAAGAATTGTAATGATCCCTTCTACCTTTTTTTACCAAGTTCGATAAAAAAAAGTAATGAAAATGGTGAAAGTGGAGCCTAAACATGTCTGAGCTCTGACCTAGAGCACAACAATACCTTTTAGTGCCACTGCAGTGCAATAATGTGTTTTACTCAGAAGCTAATCACAAACCACATTTGGATTCATTCTTGCCCCCAACAGACGTTCAAAATGAGCAGCCTGTCTTTAGTTGGTCACTACCCATGCTGTCGCCCAGCAGCTCCCCTAAAAGTGAACCAGGTGAAAGGTTTGGCCTGGATAGTTCAAACTACCGCCTTTTATTCGATTAAGACGATAGCGCTAAATCAATTACTATCAAAACAAAACCAGTACTTAAGCACTTAAGAAACCTGTGGGCGAAAAGCTGGCTGCCACAGAGCATCTAAGCAGTCATGCAGGAGGAGACCGCGTTATAACCAGGAAGAGGAAGGCAATACACTGTTTACCTGTTAGTCGACCATTGAAAGTCACTCTTCTATCTCTGGATAGAGGCCAGTCACAATAAGGCACAGCATGAGGGTGTGTGGGTGATAAAACAGGCCAAACAGCTGAGTTGAGAGTTTAGACTCGACAGATTCAAGAAACAGAATGAAGCAGGGTTATAAATAAGTCATTTTATTTTGCTTTCTTTTTAAAGAATATACGCATCAACTATTCATAACAAATGGAATTGTTAAATACTGTACACAGCATACTGTACTCTCCCAGTGCATGTCTTCACCACAGCAGAGAAGTTATTTCATGATAAACTAGTCTTCATTCAGTTTTATTATTTCTAATAAGACATATGAATACCTTAAGATTAAATAGTATCAGTGTATGATGTAAACATTTTTTCAGACATTTAAGTCAAAAGCAACATTGTGTTGGCAAGGTTGTGTGAGCAGGCGGGAGAGAGAAAGTATATTTCAATGACCGTTTGACCTTAGCAGTTATCTGTTTCCCAAACTGAACACCGTGTTCGATACCAAGGGTTACTTCAATACATGTGCTACATTTACTATATCATCCTGATGCTTCTTGAACAATCTACAACAATAAAAACCATATATTTTCTAGGCTGCCAGCAGCCAAAGTCTCTCAGACCACACCCACTGCAATCATGTAAGGCAGGAATGCATGAGCAGAACAGGAAAGTCCGTGTCAGGTAGGTAAACCCTGCACTGTCTTTGTACTGCACGTCTGTATTAACAGGTCAGCCTAACATCTCTGTGATCTAAGATCCACGTGATCTAAAATCTCTTTTTAAGGATATCCGGTTAGAATTACCTTTGTGTTACTCTTAAGTGAAGTGTACTTGAATTAAAAAGCAGTTTGTCAGGTAACATACAGAGCTGGTTACCTCGTCTTTTGCAGATTATAATTTTCAATGTTTTCTTAATGGGGAGTATGTGAAATATAGGATTATATCAAAGGGAGGTAGTACTTGAGGCAAATTAGTTCCAAGCAATTGCTCACAGCTTGACCAAAAAACAAGAATAAGCTCCTCCAACTGTTTCATGGAATTTCAGTGAGAATCGCATTCACTTCATGTTCAACAGGCCAATTTCTGTGCAACAAAACAGACCTGGACACTGAAAGAAAGCAATCACTTTTTAGAGGGCTGTACTCAAAAGCAGGTGCCGCAAATAAGCAGAGCACAGTAACAAGTATGGTTGATAGTTTCTACCGATCGTAGAAACTAATTTGTATAAAGTCTCACCGGAACACTTTTCCAACTGATGCTCACATGCACGTATGCACGTCCATGTCCATGTCCATACACACACGTCCATGTCCATACACACACGTCCATGTCCACACACACACGTCCATGTCCACACACACACGTCCATGTCCATGTCCACACACACACGTCCATACACGTCCATGTCCACACGTCCATGTCCACACACACACGTCCATGTCCACACGTCCATGTCCACACGTCCATGTCCACACGTCCATGTCCACACACACACGTCCATGTCCACACACACACGTCCATGTCCACACACACACGTCCATGTCCACACACACACGTCCATGTACACACACACACGTCCATGTACACACACACGTCCATGTACACACACACGTCCATGTACACACACACGTCCATGTACACACACACGTCCATGTACACACACACGTCCATGTACACACACACGTCCATGTACACACACACGTCCATGTACACACACACGTCCATGTACACACACACACACACACACACACACACACACACACACACACACACACGGAAAACATTCATTTACACAGATATAGTAGCCTGAGTAAGACTGAAACTTCATCAAGGTAGGGAAACCACATCAGTGTTGATGTACAATAGCAAACAGAAAAGAGATTTGTGTGCTAATATCCTTCATTTTGTTAAAAAATTAATTGGCCTTGTATTGAGACTTCATATATTAAGTGATTCATGATTAAATTACTGACCTTTTGTCCCTTACAAAAGCAGCGTCAATGCATCTCACAAAACATCCTCAACCTTCAAGACACAGAAAAACACTGAACCACATGAGGTTCAAGGCCCGCTTGTACCACGACATCAGCAAAAACCGCACAATATTGAATGCCGTAAAAAAACAAAATCATATAGAAAGTAAGCTCTACAATGTGGAATTCTCCCACAGTCTATTGTCAGAGATACAGTTTTTACATTAAGTATCTCAGCCGTGATAGCTACTTAGCATTACCAGTAACTGAATACAGTGCACACATACCCTGTGTGTTCAGAATACATAGGGGGTTAAAAAAATAAAAACGTAAAAGCAGCAGTTTGAGGGTTGTTAGCGTCCAGTTTCACCATTTTTTTCAAGTGGCTTTTGCTCATGTAAAGAGTCCTCTGCTACTTCCACTTAAACTTTTCAAACTAAATCCACATGTGCTTTCCTCCTGGTGTCACAGTCCCAGTCCGAGTCTGATACATCTGTATTGCGAGCTGCAGGGCTTTCCATGACCCGAAGAAATCTCTCTACACAAGGCGAGTCCACGAAAGCGGGCCGCTGAGGCAGGAGATAGTAATGTGTGGTGCTGGCCTTCTTGCCGTTCTCCATATCAGGGAGGATGCAGGGGGAGCCCTCACTGTTCTGTCTCTGTAAACCACGACAGCTTACGTATTTAGGATCTGGTGCAAAGCTTTGAGTTGGGGGCATCACCCCATTAACGTATGTTGGGAGGCTCTTGGGGCTGGGAGTGCGGGAGCTGCTTCTAGACAAAGGTTCCCTTGGTGGCACCTTGGGTGGTTTGTCCTCATCGCTGTAAGCCCCAGACGAGACCTCTGCTGACCAGCGGCGGTAGTCTCCTGTCTTGATTGTTCGTGGAGGGATAGGGGGTGGTACCTCGGCCTTATCCATACTTTGGGTGTGGCGTTTGTGGCACGTGAGGCGCAGCAGTGAGGGCTTGTTAAAGGATCCAGCTGGGCCAGAGTGCGAGCGTCGCAGTCTCCTCTGAGCTTTGTCCTGCTGCTGTCTCTGACAGACCGTTGGCTCCGGTAGTTCCTGTCGCTGCAGCTCATACTGTTCCCGCACTTCCTGTGGAGGATGTGCCTGATGCTGATGCTGCTGCTGCTGCTGCTGATGCTGATGCTGATGCTGTTGCTTGGGCTGTCTCTGGCTCTGCGGTCCTAATGGGCCGTCGTAGTAAGCATAGTTAATTTGCCCACAGTCCCTGAAGCTCCTTCGACTGGGGACTCCATATCGAAAGGGAGACGATTTGGGACACTGATCTGACACAAGGCAGCGGCTGTCGTCTGAACTTGTGAAAAATTCTACCTCTTTGTCCATAGCCTGCTCAGGGGAGATGTCCGTTTGTGGAGGGATGGGGGGCAGAGGCTTGGAGCATCTGTCTGGCGTCTGTGGTGGACTGCTGCACTCGTACACCGAGAGCCTCTGGAATGAGGGGACCACCTGGTCGTCATCAGCAGGACTTGGGGAGGATGGTTCGGCACTGCAGAACAAGGAGAGATGGGAGGGCCGGGATTTCTTTGGAGGTAATCTCTGTGAACTAGGACTGTGTTTCTGTCCTGTCAAGAGAGGAAAAGGAAGATTACATTAATAACGCAGTATCAACTTATAACGGTTGGTTAACGACAATCACAATTTACTACTTCAACTTCCTGTAAAAAAACACTTGCATGAACTACTAGCTTTCTCTATGCAAGGCAGGAATGCATGAGCAGAATCTAGTATGCATGTAGCAAATGATTCAAAGAAACAGCACATCCAAAGCAGCGCGTGTGTATTTCAGAAGACCTGCACTGTGCAGTTGACAGATCATGCACTTACTTTCATAATTTAGAGACGGTGGAGGTGGCCCTTTATGATGAGCACGAGAGCTGTGATCTGAGTGTGCAGTGTTCATACTGAAGTAGAAGCTGTTTAAAAAGGAAGAAAAAAACAAAATGAGTACCAGTAAGGACTTATCATCCTTATTTACAATAAATCTCAGACTGACCTGAATCATAAAAGTGCAGCACGTCATGCAGATTTTCAACAAAACATCCCCTAAGGGCCTGTTAGTCTTGGCACCTGAACACTCACTTGTCCAGCTCATGGTGATGGCTCCAGGAGGGTTTGGATCCAGCCATGCTGTGACAGTAGCTGCCCCTCAGGAAGGGGTTTTCTATGGGAAAAGAAATCTCCTGGGCAGTCAGGCCCACTGTGGACATGCTCCAGGCACACTCGGGTCGCATCAAAGTCAGGAAACACTCAGATCACCCGGCTGGCTGCCCCTGCTTCTGGTGTACCTGTAACACAGCCAAGATACAGCCATGAATGATGGAAAAAGGGGGGTGAACGCAAAAGTAGATGAAGAGAAACAGAACATGGGGTAGCACATTGAAAAACACTCTTTGTAAGCAGAGCCCACATCCTCTACTGAAGCTAAAAAATAAATACAGTCCTGATATTGGAACAGAGAGCAAATTACCCAAATCTACACCCTTTCTGCTGCCCACCAAACCAAATATTTAGTCATGGCCTTGTGCTTTGTCATTTGTTTCCCTCTATCAAGACTAGACTACAATCTTCTGTGACAGAGGAATGATTAAAGCTCACTTTGGCAAGATTATAGGACTCTGTCACAACACACCAAGAGGACAGAGGACTCGGTCGTTCATAACTTTCTGGTCAAAGTATTGTACAAAGAAAGCAGAAAAGTAGTCGACAGACCAAAATGACGGAGAAGGATCTTGATGTAAGAATGTCGGTATAATGCGCAGATTGGTTTTTTTGTCTACTTTATTTATACAACTGGCCTGAAGGATACAAGTTAAGAGAGTTTTGTGTGACAATAATTGGTGCCTTATATTGATAAACAAATACAATTGCTATTTTTCCACCAGGTCACTGAATGATCTTTACATTTCAAATATAGTGCTATATTCAACAAGCTAGATTTCAACAATACTCAATCTTATGTGTCAACCCATTAAACCAACTTTCAGACTTCCATTTGTACAGGCTGTTCCAGCTCTTAATAAGTTTACAGTTTATTTTAAACTTGACTGTGCCGTGCTCCAGTGCTGCAATCTCGCTTGTCCTGAACAGCAGAGGAAAGGGCTCCTCCAGTTACCAGAGATATACCTGATGTTGCAAGAACTCGTCAAGTCAAATGACCTGAATGTTCGAGTCATGTCAAGTATGTGTCAGGGCTGAGTAAACAATGTGTACAATATTCAGGGGGGGGGGGGACCTGGCAGGATTTTGACATTTCTGGGGTCAGAATTTGTATGTAAAATCTAAACTAATATTTGTACCTCGCACTGGATTAACCTGTTCAGTGTGTCACAATCCCTGGAGACATGAGTTTAGAAGGTGTTATATCAAAGTATGCAGAGCCTTTACATTTTCAAGCAAGTGTATCACGGGTAGCTGTGGGCGTCTTTGTTTGTCTTTGACTTCAGCACCCTATCAGAAGTCCTATTTTTCAGAATGCAGCAAAACAGGTGCATCCGTCAGCCTGGTGGTCATCTCTTCTAGAGACCACAAATGAGGTGCGTGCACACACCCAGAGACACGCTGTCCTCCTTATAATGTTGACGTGATGACTGAGAAGAACACGGCCCCCTCCTTCCTGGTCTCCTATGAGCCATATTTACGCGCTGCACTGACAACTGGTGAGAAACAAAGCTCTAAAACAACAGGAAGTCTGGGGCACCAACATGAGCCAAACTGCCCACCAAGGCATGCAATCCCTATGCCCAGGGTCGTCGATTCGGTTTGGCGGGGATGGGAAGCAACATGATCCCCGATAATGAACCCCGGGGGCTTGTGCTTCCTCTTGCAACAGGTGCAAAGACAGTTCATCCTGGCAGTTAACCACAGGAGAATGTACAGGCAACGGGATAACACAAATGACGTGCCGTGCAGAGCATTGACCCTCTTAAGAGGGAATTTACTTCCAGTCACTTAATTCAGATCATTTGGCCAGAGAATGAGAGAGTCTTTATATGGTCGAGTCTGGCCTTTCTGTTTGTACAATAGGTGGACATGCTCAATGGGAGTGTGAAGATAAAATAGGGCCCATGGGTGCCGGAAAGGAAGAGGTCGAATGGGGTTAGCAGTGACAGTAGGAGATAGCTTGCCTTTGATTCAGGATTGCAGTAGTCACACAGACCTTGAAAGAAAGAGTTCACACCCCGCTCATGACATCCCTGCAGCGGTTTCCGAGCAACCATACCCGCTCTACCTGTGCGGCAAGCAAACAGCGCGCACACCCCCTCACTTTACCGGATTGAGATAATAATGGTTAAAAGCCCTCTAGCAAGGAGGTGACTCACACCACAAGACAGCTATCTGGCAAGGACAGGTAATGATGATATAGAGTGGTTTGTCATTTCCCTTTAGTGGAAGCGGAAACGATTTAAAAACAAATGGATAATGTTGACTACATAAAAACAGTTATAAGTTTGCAATCGATTTAAAGTTATGGAAGGGCTCAAACGTTTTATATCCATCATAGAAGACAGACACGGTCTATATATTTAGTGAAAGTTGTAACATATGTTCCCAATTTGTTGCTCATTTATCCAAGATCTTTTTAAATCCTCGAAATGTCGGCTTGAAGACAAGTCGCTCCTCTGAATGGCTTAGAAAGAACACATACACATAAACAAATAAACGAACAAACAAAAATACACACGAATAAGCCTAACCTCAATGTTGCATCCAACAGAGGTGTCTGTCGCGCTGGCACCAACATACAAAACAATAGACACGGGCTCCTACTTACAGCAGCCAACACCAGACATTTCAAAGCTCTTTCTGAACTCACCTAAATAACTGTTACAGTTTTCCTCCGCCGACTCGCTCCTAGACTCCTCTTTGGTGAAAAATAGCTCCTCGGTTTCTTTGGTTTGTTTGAGTCTGTAATGGTCCGATTGCACCAGAGACAGCACGCCAGCGAATAGGTGGCGCTCCGGCTATACTGTGACACTTTTATATAAGTCTAGTATTGTAGTGAGCGATATTTTATAAGCGCGCTGGCTCCGCCCGGAACACTTGCCCTTAAAGGCGCAGTCTTCATTTTCACCACGTCTCTCTGCAGCGTACGTGCGGCAGTAGGCTACAGGCTGAGTGTAGGCTATATGGGACATAAACGCAGGTCTAATTTAAGCATTACGTTAACTTGATGTGATCAAAGTCTGCCTTTAATTAGAGGACAGAGCATGTGTGAACATAAGGATACAGTCAGCTGATAAAGTGCTGCAGTGGGGGACATGCAGGATACAGTAAACACCTCAACAATTAGACTGTTGGACATGCAGTTGCTCTGCGATTTGGCTACAGCTCAATGGGGATTGGTTGATGCAGTGGAGTGATGTTTATTCATAATTGTATACTCTGCTTTGCAGCAGTGTAAAGTGATAATTATAAGATGCCACATCATCCTGGTAGTTTGGCCTTTAAAAAACTGTTCATGTCTTGACCTATGTTGTACTTCAAATGTGTCTCCTGTGTGGTTTAACAAACAGCAAGCATACGTGCTGCAGTCAAACGTCAAACTTCATGGATCTGCAGGGAGACAGAGGCAGTAATGGGGATGGCTCCAGGGCAGATAACACAGACAACGGGAAAAGCAACACAGACAGAAACACCGTTATCTGCACAGCTGATAGCTGAATGGAGCCCAGATTGTTTAGCAGCTCACTTATCAGATTCAGATTCAGATTATTTTGGCTGGACCTGTTTACCTGCCATGATGTTCACTTAAACCCAGTGTAATTAGATAACCCAGGCTACAGGGTTGATGTCAACTGAATTCTCTTTGTTTCTGTTTCGGCTAATATGTGAATAATCTTGCATGCGCCACCCCTCAGTCGCACACCCTCTATTTTCAGTCACTTAGCCTACTTAGATCTTAAGTGGTGTTGTATTAACTATGTCATCAAATCTAACCGAGCTATACAAACCCAACACTGACATGCACGCTAACCAAACACAGCGATACAATGGCTACAAACAACTCATATGTTGAATCAATAGTGGCAGAAAGCAGAGGTGGGTGCAGAGAGAGAACAGAGTGTTCTTGTGCCTGAGTTCGTAAATCCTTTACAGCTTGGGCACGGGGGCCCCTCAAAGCCAAAAGGCTTATCGTGACATATTTGGCCCCTACATGGACCAGGCCACTGCTAATCCCCCTTTATAATTTCAGACACATTTTTGGGATTCCCTTGGCCAGTTGACCAGCCGAGGAAGGGGTTTTTGCTAGGTGATAAGTGTGGATGTGAATAATATGAGCATCAGAGTTTTGTAAATGATTTACACGTTTGATGTGATGGATGGTGCAGGAAATACTCACCTATGGCGCTACATATTGTGGGAGGAATGAAATGTAATCAAATCCAGTTCAATAAAGCGTCTGCTTATGTTTATTTCTGCTTCACATCTCTGAATCTGTTGGTAAAACTCTTTCCATGTTTCACCAAACAGACACACTCAGTGGGATAAATAGGCTTCACAGTCTCTACTCCCACTTCAGCCCCCCTCCCCTCCCCTCCCCCCCTTCCCCCCTTCCCCTCCCCTCCCTGCTTGTGAGCCACATCGTGATGTCATCACTCACAGGAAGTTCCTTATAAAGTTAGTCAGGGAGGGGAAAAAAATAAAAAAGTCAGGGAGGGAGATAAGCATCCACAGCTATAAGCAGCTCTGATGACAGTTTGAGATGTCAGATGAAAGAAATCGTGCCAAAGTGGATGTCCTTCTCAGGAAAAGTTACACTGCCTTTTCTTTGGTTCTGCTTCATGACTCATGCTGAAATTTATCCACCATATCCAGCATCCTCCAACCCCCGAAAAAGTTACACCTTCAGCTCGTCTCACATTCAGCTGCACTTGGAACAGAAAGGAATTTCCCTTTGTGGCTCACACTTCAGAACAATTGTATACTTACGGCGTGACGCTTCAGTCCCTCAGCTTATTAGGAATCCCTCAACAACATGAAGGGAAGAGTTTAGATAGAAATGAAAAAAACAACAACAGCGTATTATCAGTGTAAATGATTTATTGACTATGGAGGTCACAGCATTGATTGCTTCTGCCTGCAGAGGTAATTAAATTACGTGCATAATTAGCCTACGTCCAAAGTTCACGCTGATATAAACACAGCAGCAGAAGGGTCAGTGTTGTAGTAAGGTGACGTAAAGCCTGTGAGTCTGTCAAAGATTCCAGTGAATAGGTGATAAACTAGCTGTCCCTCTGTTAAATTGAGAGATTATTGTAAGCAAAGTCTTCAACTTCCTCCCTTTAGACATGAGAATTGTGGCCGATGTTGACACCTTTACGAATTACCCTATGTTAAAATCCGGGGTGAAGTAGAAATCTGCATAAAGCCTATTATATTATACCTCTGTGGTATTGATCAAGTCACACTATTCCTTTGGAAGCACATTTTCAAAGCTTTTGGGAAAATAATCACATTCACTTCCATTATATTTACCTTGTGGCAGAAATTATGTCTCAAAACTATGACAAATAAAGTTAAAAGTATGTGCACAGCTAAGGAAGTAAAGGAAATATGGATTTGTTCATAGTTGGGGTGAATTGATTTGACCTGACTTATTTTTATGTATTTCTTGATTGTAAAAGAATTAGTGACTCTTGACAAGTGCTAACAAATAAACTGTTGTAAGCACCAATAATGTCAAACACTTCTTAAATACCCACAGGGAAATGCACCAATAACTCATGGGTAGGTTTTACTTTTTAGTTCTATATGACAACTTTGGTGAGCTGAGCTTCCAGCCTGTGAAGTTTAGGGCAATACAGTTGAGACTTACGCTGACACATCGCCGTGTATTAGTTCTGGATCGTGGTTTCGTCTGGCAGACCCACACACACTTGGCTCTTACCGTGGAAACAATACACAAATCCCCAGGCAACGGACTGTCATCTCTCTCCACTATGTAAATACGACCATATTAAAGCACTTCTACTTGGTAACCATACCGAACTCCTGAGAATCCTGCAGCTGCTTCAGTTATTAATCACTTCCTGTATTGGTACAAAGACTTCTGGGAAATGGAGGGTAAATTATGAGTAGCTTGCCTCACACACATGTATTTTCAATTCTGGAGAGTAACATAATCAAAAGCAGCAACGACGAGTCATCATTGCATCACTCCTCGACATTGTTTTGTTGAGTGGTTCAAGTGCCGCCACAGCCTGC